ATACGATTTTTATAATTCTTTTATTGTTTAAGGTTCCAAGTTGGAATTTGATCATATTTTTTTATTTCTAAAATTATTTTATTATTGACAACTGTAGTGTTTTACTAAAACCTCAAATACAGAGCAGCTTAGAAATCTAAACTAACATCGTTTTCCGATTGCTTGAAACTTAAAATAATTAAAAAAAAAAAAATATTTAAATTATAATTTCAAAAAAAATACTTTAATTTTCTTAACTATGTTACTGAGCCTAGTAAATTAAATACATGAATTAAAATGTATACATTCATATAAAAATAATTATATTATGTTCTATGATTAAACGTGATTTGAAAAACATACTGAATAAATTAACTATTATACTTATATAGGTGCTGATTTATTTTATTATAGCATTGTCACAGAACGTAAAAACTCTAGTCCTACTACTCAGAGTTGTTATCAATAAAAAATCATATACTCAAAAGTGAGGTGCCTTTAAGTATTTGTCATAGAAATGCCACTGTGGTTGGGGAATTATACTCTCAAAAGGTTTTTGAATGTAGTGTTTATATTACCCTTAGGAAACATACTAAAAATACCAATATTGATATTATAATTTAAATAAAATAAAGAGTCAAGCCTTATGAGTTAGATCAGGGGTCGGCAACCCGCGGCCCGCACAAAGGTGGTTAATTTTTGTGTTTTACTTTTGTTTAATAACATTTTTCATATAATTCTTTTTCCTTTATAAATAAAATCTTATCTAACAGTTTCATAATAGCAATACAATTAAAAGTATTATATCATAATATGTAATTTTTTTTTTAATGTGGCCCTTGATGAACAATTGAAAAAAAAAATGGCCCATGTGGTTAAAATGGTTGCCGACCCCTGAGTTAGGTAATGGATCAATAAGGTTTTTCAATGTAAGTTGGAGACAAATATAATAATGGTATTATAATAAAAGCAATAATGGTGTGTTCTAATTAAAACCTAAATGGCTAAATACTCTATTGAAACTAGACAATAATTTTATATTTTTTTTGACTTTCATTTCCCATTACATAGAATTTATGACATTTCCTAAAAAGATCTAATATTATCTTAAAACTATGATTATTTTAATAATCATCATTTTATATTTAAAAATCCTTATTATTAATTTAAAAAATGATCAACTTAAGTCTTAAGTACTATAATACATTTCATTTTGAAAATAAAAACAACTAACAAGAAAGGTTTAGAAATATTTTATTAACACTTATGAAATTATAATTTACAGTAATAGAAAACTTAATGAAATTTAAAATATATAATTTAATGATACACTTCACAATGATAATGGTTTAAACTGTTGTAGTATTTTAATAAATAACTGATGATTAAAGACTGAAAATAAAATTACTTCTAAAACAAATTTAGTTCTGATTTGTACCTGAAAATAAAAATTGTTTAATTATTGAGGCATAAGTTACATACAATAATGTTATTTTTATTTCATAAAAATTAAGTTAAAATTCAAACAAATGTAGTATGTTAATATGTTAAATGTAAGAGTATATTTTAAAAATTTAGAATTTTTAATCATAAATTAATTACTGAATTAAAGAAGATTATAAAAATAAATAATAATTGAATACAAATTTGTTAATAATCAGCATATTATCCAGTATATTTATACAAAGAGATATAACTAAATATAAATAGTAGATGATATTCGATTGAAATGGGTTTTTAGGGTTATAGGAAGAGTTTATATTCTTTTGGAATATGCAATACAGATTATTATATTTTTTAATGGCAACACCAATTATTTATTTTTATAAATTTGGATAGATAATGTTAGTATTGCATTGTGCGTGTTTTTTAAAAACAAAACTGACAAAATTAAAGTTAAGTTAATATTTTAAAATAATTTAATTGTGTTGATGACACTATAATAATTGAGTAATCCTCAAATATTTACAGGACAAGTTAAAAAATAATTTAAAACCATAATAAATGTATAAAAAATATACATTATTTTGTTTATTTACTTATTCTCTTTGAAAAATTGTAACAATAATATTGAGAATAAGATTAATAGGTAAAAACATCTATAAGATTATTTGAAAATTTAAGTTTACTTTAACTGGTCATTTTTGTATTTATAAAATTTTTAATACAAAAATTGTTAAAAAATCTTTATAAACATTTTTAATAGTTTAATATAAACTTGGTATTATTCATTATTATTTGTTTTATTTTAATTTTGATCAAAAATATTGTTTTTTAAATAAAGCTATGTCCAGAAAGTAATTTATGTCTGGAGTAAGAATAAGTAAGATATATATTTAAAAAAAAATTTACTGGGACATTAACTACAAATATTAAGCTATTTTTCAACAAAGTTGCCACCATTATTTAAGCACTTATGATGGGGCACTAGTTTTTGTATTACTTCATCATAAGAATATGCAATCTGTGATTGCAACCATGTGTTAAATGCTTCTTTCATCTGTTTTTTATTAGAGTTTTGACATCAAGAAGTTATTTCATATGAAAAATAGATGAAAACCATTAGGAATCGGATTTGAAGAGAAAATTAAACTGTTCCCATATTAAATCCATAAAAAGTTGTTTAGTCCAATTTAATCATACTACTTTTATAGCACAGACCTAACAGCTAACCTGGTGATTTTAATTTTTTACTTATGAAATCATTTTTTCTTGGTGGCCAAAACTACAATCAAGATAAAGAGGTAAAAGAAACGTTTAACATATGGCTGCAATCACAAATGGAATCTTCCATCTTGTACATTGATTATCATAAAAAAGTAAAAAGTTATACCTATATAGTAGATAGTTATCCCAAATATTTCTTTTTAATCCTTTTCACCCCCTAAGAAGACGATTCAATTTAAAATCTTTTAACTAAAATTTATTAATGGTCTTGATGTGAACAAATTGTGTATATAAAATGTATTTTAAAAAATCCAAATGAAAAGAAAAATAATAGGGTTGGCATGTTTATGGTTAATTACATAATATAATTATATTCAATGTCCTCTACAGTGTAAGCAATAACTGAATAAGTTCTGATAAATAGTTCTCATTAATATCAAAACAATTAGTAATTAAAACATTTGAAAAAATATTAATTTATTAATTTATTTGTTAAAAAAATTACTAATTACTACATATAATTGTTTAATTGATTCAAGTATAGAAATCTCAATCATTACATAATAATAAAAAATAAAAAAACAAACTAGGCCATAATTTCTTTTTGTAATTTTAATAACAAGTTCAAGTTTCTTTAATTCTAAATAAGTTAGTGGGGTAAAATTACCCAATTAATTTTTAACTGTGATTTAATAATATTATTCTGGGTGGTGTAACAATGATACGAATCTAAAAAGTTTCAATATATGTCATTATGAAAAATGATAAATAATAAATTTTAAATTTGTTAAAAATAATATATATTTTTATTTTAAGCCAAAATGTACAATTTACATCAGATGACATAATAAGTATATAAGATAAGAGATAGATAACATGAGTAAACAAAAAATAAAAAAATTGAATAAAGAAACCACCTTAAGATGACAATTGAATGTTTATTTTGAAAGTTATGAAATTAGTATTTATTTAGACATATTTTATTTGTCTAAAAAGTATTAGAAATAATTAAATTTAAATGTAAAATCAATAAATATTAATGAAAAATGTATGATTATTCATAGATTAAATAACACTGATGCAGATTGTAATGACTATAAATGTACCTATGTTATTTTTTGGTCAAAAGTGTTATGTGAGAAGATAAGAAAAACAGACACCATATGCAAAATAAAGTGTATAATAGATATAAGATAATTTTATTTTGAAATACTAATATTAATTATTACACTTTGTCTCTTGTATTGGTCATTAAACATCATTAAGGCAAATTACAGTCTTTGCTAGTCCTCTATTCCACTACACCTGTAATTTGGTTAGGTGGAAGAGTTGAATAAGTTATACTGTTTGAGTTTCTAAGTGGAGGTTGATTGGAATAAGCATTTATAGGTTGCTACTATGCTCATACTTAGTACTTTCAACTACTACAAACCACATTAACTTTACATTATAAATACTAATGCAATAATTTATCATTCATAATCTTAATTTGTAGCGAGTATGAAATTAGTATCCAGTTATCTTTTGACATTATGTTTCTTTAACGAACCAAATCCAAATTAATATAATAAGCAATTAATTAATGCACTGGTATTACATATTTAATGATTTAAATGTTATCTTTGCATAAAACCCCAAAGATTAATGAATTTCAGAATTTAACTCAAACACGAATATGTATACCTAATCTAACCTCCATGGAAACTATATGTTTTGAACATTTAATTAAATGTAATTTTAAGAGTGCAATTAAAATTATAAAAAATATAATATAGAATTACAAACATATCATTAAAATATAGTATATTATGTGTCAGTTTACATACTACATACATTAGATAAAAAATATCCAAATTTAGTGTTCAATTTTATATCTAAAAATATACTTCATTAACCATATTATAAAAAATTCTAATTAACTTTTATTAATTATATTAATTGATGAAAGATGTATTATATGTACTAATACATTAATTTTCGTCTAAACATTTTAACTTTTGAAACAAAGTTAATTATTAATAACTTTAAACAATACTTACATAAAAATAACTCTAAGAATTTAGTGGAAAAACATCAAACATTTTGATTGAAGAAAATTAAAATTATCATTTATTCTAAACTCTGAAGTGATTTAGACTACTGAAAATTCTACATACCATTATTATGGTATTATACAAAATAGTATATTTTATTTGTATATGAAAAAAACCAAACACCAATGTTTTATACTCATCAGTTATAACTAAAAGCAAAATGTTTTTTATTTGAATATTTTCTATCATAAATACTTACCCTTTTCAATTTTATTGATGAAATCTTTATAATGTTCAACAAATTTAAAACTTATTATTTTATTTAATTGATTTTTTCAGTGACTAATTTCTCAAATGCCGCTTCAGTAGCTGCAAGAAAAAAAAATGTATTTATATATATCAACCTATTATAAATCTATAACAGTTTATAAAAAAATGTCAAATATAATGTTTACTAACTACATAAAAATACAATAAAGTAATAGTTATTATTTTATTAATTATAGATTTATAGTGAAAAATGGAGAAATTGTTCTTTTTAATAGTTTATTCTATCATTATGTTCATTAGATAAATAGAGGTAAAACAGTTTAAAAAATTTCTATTATACTCCATAAATGAAATTGGTAAGGTTAATAAGTAATCTAAATGATAATATATATACACACACTTAAATCTTGTATTAAATATGGTCATATATTTATAGATTTCTGGATGTTTTAATCATAAAATAATAAGAATAAACGAAAAATTAATATAATTCTGTTAAATTAATATGAATAATAATATTTAATAAAAAATAATTTGGAGATGTTATTCAACAATGTAAAAATAACAAACATTACACTACTTGAAAATTTAAAATTAATTTAAAGTTGAATTAGTCACTAAATAGAGTATATTTTCTAATAATAAAAAAAAAGTCATAAAATAATAACTAATTGTTTATGTTGATATGAACAATTTTTAAACATTTATAAATAAATAAAAACATATTTTTTTTACCTTTTTTAGTAAGATCATTTACGGTTTGATCAATATCTCCTTGATGTTTTAAGAAGTTTGGACGTATAAATTTATTATATACAACCACAGAACCATTATTACTGATTGGTATAAAACACCACACAAAGAAAATTGTCTAAAAACAAAATTATATAATTATAAAAATTTACTAATCAGATATTTTGTCAAATTACTAACTTGCTGAAGAAATAACTGATATATTGAATGAATATTATTATATTTTACATTAAATTAAATTATACTAAATTGAAATGAGTTTTATACTTCCAAAACAATATGAATTATTTTAAAATTTTAATTTCTTAGTATATTTATTTATAATTTAAAAATTGTCATAAACTTACTTTTATTAAAGAATAAAATGGTATCCAACTAAGTAAAATCGAAGCTGGGAGTTCAATAAGAGTAATGAATGAAAATACCACCCAGTATGTTAACCATTTTGTGTCATCATCTTTGCCACTAGATTCAACTGCTTTAATAGATGCGTATGCTGGGTATAAGAAGCCGATCAAATTACTTAACAATACGGTACCATATCCAATTATTAAGTAGAATACAAGAAACACTGCTAAACCTAGAAATATATTTTATTTTAACAATTTAAACAAGACATTAATTACAAAGAATAAAATATTTCTACTATTGTAATTTACATTATTTAAATAATCAACATTCAACAAGAATATTATGTTTTATTTTAGAACTTAAAATTATCTAAAATCAAAATCAAATGAATCATAATAAATAATAATACATTTCATAAATAGAAAAATAATTATGCAATTAAAAATTTATTAGTTTACAATTTTAAATTGCAATATTGCAAAATATTTACTTTATTTAATTAATATTATATTATTTATAAAAACGTAAGTAATTAATAATTATTAATTTTTTATCGTTTCATTAAATAAAACAAATTTTAAAATTTTATTAAAAAAAAAACTTAAGTTAATATAAATTTACTTTAACGTTACATGCATTTTATGTCAAAACTAAATTCTATAAAATATGTAATATATTTATGAAACATTAAGATTTCATGAAATAAATTTTAAATAATGAGATTATTTTAAGTACCTATGATAAATGTATCAATAAATTAATTAATGATATAATCTTTACCTAATAAAATATTAATATAAATATAGAAAACTCGATATTAATTTTAAATTTAAGTAATACTTTATACATAAATCAACAGTAATTACTTTAATATGATAAATGATAACTGATATTTATTTAGTCATAAATTTAATGATATAAGCATTATGTTTATATTCAAAACTATCTAACTAGACTTTGGCCGTGAAAAAAAATGAAAAATACAGTACAGAGATGTATCTCAGTTCACACTTCACAGGAATATATTAACCATGATTGGCATTCTGTTTGTTGTACATTTATTACCGTGTGGATTATTTTGAAACGTGATTTAAATTATTTTTCAAAATTTCTTAATATCTTAAAGAATAATTAAATAAAAAGTAACTTCCTCTATTTTTTTTTTTACATTAACTCTTAAAAAAAAACATAATTATTTATTTTAAATTTTTTACCAATAAATAAATTCAGTCTACTGACTCCTGTTTGTGCTTCAGCCCAACTGAAAAATTTACACCAAGGCTTAGACTCATCGTATAATGAATCTTTAATGGCTGATTTAGCTGTTTCAAGTTGAATTGCCATTTTAAAATGTTGATACTAAAAAACTGTAAAATGAAAAATAATAGAAAATTAATCACAATATTTAGTACCTATGATGGTTTGAATTACCAAATAATACTATAATATATATTATTATTAATATTAAAACAATGTTAAAAAATAATATTTATAAAATAAAGTTTATATTTATTTAAATTAATGGACCTATTTATTTTTATTTATTAAGCCTAGATTATGTATAATTAACAACTTGATAAATAGGTAGTAAGTTCATATAACTATAACTTTTCTACTAAAAAATAAGGATTGAGATCTTAAATATTTAAACCTAACATAATATTATATAAAGTAAGTAAAATTATTAAATGTATTTATTTTAATACCTAAAAATACTAGGCTGTTTTTCAAGTACCTATTCAACGTAATCTAATTATGTTTTGATCTTAACATAATAAAATAAAGTATAGTATATTACATTACCTATAAAGTATTAATATTAAACGAAATCACTGAACCAAAGAAAATTTTGTGAAAATAAAAAAGTATGTCAAATCTTAAAAAAATTATAATTACAGTTTAAACCCCGGCGGCTAGTCTGGTATAGTTGAAAAACCCGGACGGCGACGGGCGAACACGAAACACTAAGATCTATGTTTGTAGCACCGTCTTGAATCTCGAAATAAAACAGTGGACAGTTGGACACTATTCAGTATTCAGTATTCACTATAGAAATATATATATATCTATAATTACCAATTTGCAATCACTATAATAAAGTTGTGTTATAACTTATATATCTATCCAGCATAGACGTCTAGCGATAATGATGGTAGATAGACTGGTATATAATATATAATACCGTAACCACTTTTAATAACCTTGAAAAAACGAGCGAGTTGCAACACTTGCAACGTACGCAGGTAAAAGCGTGTTAACATTGCTAACATTCGTATTCCGTAAACCAAGTGGCAAGTATATCAAAAGCGCGGGCCGTGACTGCCAAGATCATGGAAAATTTAGATAAAAAAATAATAAATACAATTTTTTTTTTTGTCTCCTCTATGTACAAAATATATAACATATATTGCTATACATAATTTTATGTGTTACGTATACGACGTACGTACTTTTCCGATGATTTTTGTTAAAAATGTGCTTAAAATATTATTTTTTTTCGTATTTTTTTGATGTACCTTGCATGTTACTGCATAGGTACTTTTTCAACGTTGTTGGCCCAGTTAATCTTAAAATGCTTGCCGCAAATCGTGTATGATTAACAATTATATTCACAAATCGCAAACTATTGGTTGCAACTTTGATTATTTTGGTCTTTCCGCTGTGCTATGTTTTAAACTCACAAAGGCTTTAAAGCTAGTTAAATGTTTTGTCTATTTAAACTATTAATACTACTAAAAAAAAATTGTGACTATATTTTTAGTTATCTATCTATTAAATATTAATGGTGATATGTGATGATGTCTGATGAGTGATGACTAATAACAGATAAATAAAAAACAACAGTCAAAAACACATCACTGAAAAACCAATAAATTTATGGTTTGGAATCTAAAGTGGTGTAAGGACTGCACTCAGCATGTTTAGCGAATCGACTATATTTTATTTATAAATACATATATATTATATTATATATAATACTTTGGTACCTATATGTTAATGGAAAATGTAGGAATCAGCGGCTATCTAATGGAATAACAATATTCATACTAAAAGCTCTTAACTACTTGAACTTGTTACTATGATCGATTATATATATATTATATTCAGAGAATTGTATATTTGTGTATATTATACGTATTTTATTCATTTAAAAAATAAAATTTATATTCAACTCAGTTTGGAACAGCCTGAAAAGTAAATAAATGCAACTGAACTTACTGAACATAGTTTCTTATCATTTATATAGTATCAAAATTACTTTTTTGTGATAGTACAATATCCACTATCCGATTATATAGTTAAATAAAATTAATAGTTAAAATTACAGGAATTTATTTAAAATTTAGTATTTACTATTAAAGATTTGAATATATTCAAGGGATTTGAATTTATGGATGCATAGTGTATTCAGACAATTAAGAGAGATGGAAAGGATTCCCGAACAAATGGGTTATTTGATCATGACAATGGATGGGGCTGTGATTTCCGTGAGTAAAAATACAAGAACTATGTTTAGAAAAATAATTTAAAATTAATAATGATCTACTAGTAAGTATTTATGGCAAATTTATGGATTATTTCAGTCTGGTGGTGATTTAGAAAATAATGAAAAAATTGCAGACATCATATCAAAAACAATTAGCACAAGTAAAAGCTTATACGTGCCTGATGAACAATTCCAGAACATGTCAAGTATGTTGAATTACAAATTGAACTAATTTAACATTTTGTATTTTGATAATTTTATTTATTTATAGTTTTATATCAACACTATCATTATTCTGTATGTGTGTCAAATAAGAAAATCCATGTTTCCAAAATTAGACATGATCCCAATACTTTAGAAAATGATGAAGTCAAAGTGATTACCGAAGGTTCTTGATTAGCTAAACTAATTAACTTTTATATTCTTGAGTGTAAGATAAAGATGTTAAGGTTATATAATTGTACTATAATTTGATTTAAAATGTTTTAAATTAATATTTATAGATTGGTTAATAATTTTAATGCTATTGTTCACATCATTATTATATCAGATTAGGTTAACCATTAATGATACACTTTATCCATAAATTGTCTTGAAAATATCTTCATTAAACTAACCAAAAATAAAACAAAGTTTTGTTTATTACCTTATATCTGTCATCTGATAGCAACTTAATTAATACAAGTTTTAAATGAATTCAAAAAGTTAATACAAAATATATTTAATATTGAATTAATTTTAAAAGATAATAATTAATTAACTTTTACAAATACATATGAATAAATATTATTGAAAAATTATTAATTTTTTATTCATGTACAAAATATATAATAGTTATCAGTGCTTTATAATAAAAAAAAAAGTTAGATTAATCATATTTCATTTCATAAACACATTAATTTATACACTTTTTTTAAAAAATGATGATATTGATTTTGTACCCGTTGCAGCTTTTTTTAATGCTTTATCTTTAGCAGATAACTTTGGAATGACAGTCTAAAAATAATAAATAACATTATACATATTTATGAAAAAAAGATATAATAAAAAAAACTATTAACCTTTTCAACTTTAGGTTTTTCATCAAATTCGACTTGAACATGTTTCATCTTTTTATTTACATCATTATTTTCATTGGCTTTACGTTTATTACATTCTACTATTTCTGGAAGCTCAAGATGTTTTAACAATGATTTTTGAATATCAATGTGTAAATATTCCGAAATTATATCATAAGCATATCTTTTGTACTGTTCTGTATAAAAAACATAATTGTAAAAATAATTTATTTTATACAATATAACTCATTAAACAAAGTCTAACTCCTAAAATAATTAATGATAATTAACCATTAATGTAGTCATAGAGGTATCAATAATATTAAAAAAAATTATTTTCTATATTGAATAAAAGAACTTGACTTGTAACTAATAATTTACATTTATAACTGTAAACCGTAGATAATAAGTAATTTTTAAAATACATTTTGTTTTTATAATAAAATTTAAATCATTTTTGAGACAAAGTTCTTGGAATGGTTAATGTAGAATCTAGTATAGCATTTCTTTTTTTAAATTTATACGTGAACATTTTGGTACTTTAAAAAATCTTTACTATTCAAATGGAAATGTTTTACCGTCAGTTGAGTGTATGATTGTTTCACTCAGTTTAAATGAAGATGATATGGCTGCATTTTGATTAACATTTATTTGTTGATTGACTAAAACTTTTGCTACTTTATCTATTTTAGGTGTTAGCCATTCTAAAGTATTTTTTTCATTATATTGCCACAAAATTAAATCTCCAACTTCTACAAAAATGTTCAATATTAATAAATGTGACAAGATAAAAACTATGAGGATAAAAATATTATTAACAATTAAATTAATAGTTATACCTTTTTTAGTAGCAATTTGCTTTAAATTGCTCAATTCAGATAATTTCATCAGGAGGTTATTTAATTCTGAAAGATCTTCATCCACTAAAATTTGATCCAATGGACAGAACATGGAAGAACACTAAAACCATCATATTAACAATAATAATAAAAAAAAAAAAAAATCAATAACAATTATTATATTTCATTACATGATAAAAATTGCTTTTTAATGAAAAATATTTAATTGTCTTACAAAATCATCCTAGTCATGTAAAGATAATAGATTTATAGGCACATGAAAAAAAGTGTGGTTTATTTGGAAATTAATATCTCTAAACTTATAATGCAAAATCACTTAGAGCATGTGAGAATGTGGTGAACAAAAAAACAGATTTATTCCAGGTGTACAAACAATGTATTAAAAACACTAAAAAATTATAATACTCAGAAAAATAAAATAAAGTATTTAAAAAATTGTCAAACTTCTCAAGTTTTAATGTTATAATTAATAATAAAGACAATCAATAAATTTTGATTAAATACTAATTGTTTTCATTCAAATTATATGGTTGTAAAAGGAACAAAATAAATTAACCATTACATTTTTTGAAATAAAAATCTAGATATCCTTATTTATTAATGACATGGATTGTAACTTGTAACAATTCATTATTTATTTAATAATCTTTACTGTCTACAATTTTGTTATCAGTGTTTAAACTTTATGAACTAAAATTAATTAAAATAATGTAGCTTTAATGGAGAATGCCTGTAACAGGCTATAGAGTTATACTTACTTTGATAAAATATGGTAATAAAAGAAACAGAGGATCAACTAATGTTACAAAATCAATCCTATCAATAGGAATGATTTCATTGCCTTTAAAAAATGATCTGTAAAAATAATTTTACATTGAAAAATTCGAAAAGACAAAGATAATTAAAATATAATTTACCGATGACTAAATGGTAAGGATCGCATTTGTGCTAGAGTCTTATCATTTTCCGAGTACACAAAAATAGCCAATTCACTAGTTTGTGGATGACGCAATTTTATTAATCGTCGATCAGTATTTTTATCTCTTGTTAAAGAATCTAAAACAAATACACAAATATTCATTACTTGTACCATAAATAGAATTATTAAAGCATTTTAAAAACCGCACTACAGTTTACCTGGTAAAATGATATAACGATTTTTTTCAAACTCTGTGGATTCTTGTTCGTTTTTTACTTTTGGCTTTCTACCTCGAGGAGCCATAACACTATGACAGTAATTTGAAAATTGGTGTTGGGGAACGGTTTTTATATTACTGTTATGAAAAAACGTAAAAGATTTAAAATTGTTTATTGTGCTCAATAGAAAATTCAAAATTCAAAATAATAATTATTGTTAATTGTTATCTTTATCATATCAGTTAATCAGAGATGATTACTGTCGACGCTCTCCTGCAATTTTCTAAAGTACACAAATCGGATTCTCCCTAGAATAAGAATATTACTATTTTAGCTGTTTTATTCAGACTTACTCTCAATAGTTACAATTTACAATACGATAGTTACAAAACTGCAAAACACAAATGAATAAATAATTATAGTATTAGGCAATTAAAAATATCGCGGGTAAAACGAACAGTGATAGCGGACATAACCTCATTCGTAGCCTCACCAACCAAAGATAATTCATACTCCATATCTTAATATACAGGACCCTTGGTTTGTACCGTATTGTATCCATATTCCACAGACGTTATAGTATAATGATTGCAACAGCTGTTCATATCATGACACTGACTCCCAGGCAGAGATTTTCAACAATGTTTAAAATCTCTGCTCCCAGGTGATATTTTTCTATATTATAGTGATTATAGGTGGTCAGTAGTCGTGAAATCACCTTTTTTTTTTATTTATTTTTTTTTTGACAAAATCGATATCAAACACCGTTCACGTTTTTCTTCCAAGATTATACTGCATTTTCAGTTTTCACATAATCTGCCCACCACGGCACTTTTACGTCCGTACGTCGGGCGATAATTAACCCTTCTGTCTTTCTCTCTTCTTTTCTCTGTAGGTCTTCACGTCCTACAGAGTTATAGGGAAAGTCTACCTTAGGGCTGCAACTTGCGACTTTGTGTTGTGTGCCGAAACATATTTGGTCTTCGATGGTGCGCGCCCGCCTGGTGTCTGTGATATATCTTAGTGTCATTTAATTGCGTTCTTCTTACTGCGTGTTGCTGACTGGTTGTTGAAGAAGTTCGATGATGAAATAATACTAAAATACGTATTGTATTTCTGTCTAAATACAAACTGAACACATCTTCGTTGCCACATACCCACATCACGATACGATCATTACATTCAAGGACCATAATATTATAAACACGTACCAGGTAAGCTGAAAGATCATCTATGCACCTGTATTGTAATTAATAATAATACTATTATTTACATACTTAATTATATTATTATTTTGTTTCCAAGCAAAAATTCTAATATTTTTCTAAAGATGTTTCTCGCCCTGTGTAATGTGGCACAACTAAAATAATAAAATGATAGTGTACTTTTTCTATACTAAAATATGTTGCAACAACTGTTTAACCTATTTAATAATAATATGATTGTACTAACACATTAAATAGTAGTATGTCATCTCTGCTTTTATTTTTAAACTATTCTATTTTTTAATTGATACATTAACATCATTTTTTTTCATTTATATGATCTTTGAACTAAGATTTTAATGAAATACCATTATAGTGATTGACTGTATGCTTATAAAATGAAAGCATACAATATTTTATTGCATATATATATATATATATATATATATATATATAATATAATATTAAGTATAATTATATAGTTTATTCAAAGTACTAAAGATTGTTTGAAACAAAATAATACTTCTCTTAAGACTTAAATTTTTTCCATATTATATCTATATAATAAATTAATGATCGCAGGTACGTGTATAAATATTTCTTTAAAAATCCAATAAATTGTCTTAGGTCTTAGTGTAAATTGAATAGTACCTAAAATGATTTTAAATACTTTACCTATTTCAAATCAAATTGTAATGCTATTTAATTTGTATCCCTGTATTTACCTAAATAATATTTACATTAAATCAAAATATTAATGACTTATATAATGTAAATCTATTATCATTTTTTAAATAAATAATTTAAAAATATTTCATTTTACTAATTCATTGTTTCTATATGGTTTAAATTATTTTGGGTTCTGGTAATTACTTATCACTATATGGTTAATTTATAATTGGTTGTTTAAACAGAATATTAACTTAATATACGTAATAGATGGTCATGTAAGTTTGACTTATGTAGTTATGTCTCAAATGATGTGTATTATACAATCTGCATGACCTCATACTAAATATATATTTAAAAGCCATGATGCAAAACCTATTTATTTTTTAATGTCTATCTTTAGTTAATATAAAAGAAAATAGTTAAATATGTTAATTAAAAGAAAAAAAATGCTTTTTATGAATATCATTTTAATTTTGATTTCAAAGTTTTTATAATAATTATATTAGTTTCTATATAACTTATTTAAATAAGTACATTCACTCAGTTAAATTTTTCTTATTATTTATTTATTATATAATTTTATTGTACTTTTTATGATTTTGAATGATTTATATTAGTGGAACATATATTGCCTTTATGAATTAACTCAGTAAAATATTGAAAACTATATTTGTATACATTCAAATTCACTGTTTTTAACAACAATACATGTAGATAAAACTATTATTATTACTTTTTATGATTATGATTTTAACTCATTGGTATTTTAATATAATGGAATTTTAAAAACCTGGAACCCATGTCTATATGAATTATGTTAGCACCTTACTATACTTTATTATATTTTATTGTACTAAGATGATAAAAAATAAAATTGAATGAAATTTATAAGGGCAATATATTCAGTTTCAAGCTCACTAAGATATTTACTTATTTAAGATTTGACTTTGTGAAATTGACAAAAATAAATAAGCTAAATTATTTTTAGTTATATGTGTATATAAAATATTAATAATAATTCTATATAATTTTAATTTATAGTTAATATTTATATAGTGTGATTATTTATTGACAATTTTATGAATCTGTCAGTATTTCTTTTTGAATAATTTATTGTGTGTACTTATTTAAAATTGTATATTTTACCCCCGAAGTCCTAACATGTTCACACTTTAATTTGCTTATAGAGAATTAATTTTTGGTTTTTGATTGGTATTTCAAAGTTAATTTAACTAAGTATCACATTATATTTTAAATGTTGCTAATTTATGAAATTATTTATATTCGCATTTTTTTTTTTATCTAATAAGTTTGGCTTTGTTCATTATTGACTGGTTTCATGTTTAAATAATCACTCTATATGTATATACGCTTATTTATTGTAATCAATCCATAAATCATAAAAAAATAAGTGTATTGATGATTTATTTTAATTAATAAAAAATACATAGGTATTTGTTTATACTTAACTAATTTAAACACATTAATGATCTGCATTTTTTTTTTTTTATATATAAAATAATTACTCACTTTCTATCTTAAATATTTTTTTACATCAAAAGACATTGGTGTGATTTAATTTAGGCAAAATCGCAAAAGCTGATACCTGTGTTCTCTCTTCATCATGAAAATCTGGACTGTTCAACACACATTTAACTATCCATGGGAGACAGTGGTTCAAGCAGCTTGGAACAAGTACCCAAATCCAATGAATACAGCTGTCCTTGGAATAGATGTTATTGATCGGCAAGTAATTAATGGAGAACTTCATTCACATCGGTTAGTTACTACTAGATGGACATTGCCAAATTGGGCATGTGCATTAATGGGTCCAATAAGTACGTTTTATGCCAGTGAGTATTCTAAAGTTAATCGAGATCGTCGGCAGTTAAAGTTAGATAGTCAAAACTTATCATTGGGACCATTTGTCATAGTACGAGAAAAACTCACTTATAAGCCACATCCTGATGATCCACAAAAAACTTTACTTAAACAAACAGCTTATGTCACTGTAGAAGGTTTACCATGTAGTGGATATATAGAAAATATACTTACCAGTAAAATTTCAGGCAATGCAGCAAAAGGAAGACAAGCTATAGAATGGGTTATTGAAAAACTACAGCATAAACAGTCATTGTAATTTAAAACTTATTTAGGCCTACAGTTAAATCATTATATTGTGAAATTAAATTATATGGCTATACCAATCGGCCATAAAATTTACAAAACTGCTAATTTATATATTATACATATTATTATTAATTGTTTTGTATAATATATTATAAAATAAATTGAAAACATTTGTAAGAATTGTATTAAAATGTAGAACATAAATAAATACAAATATTATATTAAATTTTGAGTTTAATTTTTTAATTTTGATGTTAGTGATCTATATTAAGTAATAAAATAAATGTTTACAGGACAATTTAAGATTTGAGGTAAACATCCAAGTTCAACTTTAGACTTGGAGTTGCTATAAAATAAATATATATTTATTTTCTGAAGTGTTAAATTATACAAGTGTTAGTTACTGAAAAATAATGTTTACAATAGTGGCTTGAGCATTAGATTATCTACAATAGTTAATGTATTCATAATAATTTTAATATTATGTATTAAAATTGAGGTATTTTCAACTATAGAGTAAAACTATTAAAAAACAAATTTAACAATCAAAAGTACCTACTACCCAATGATATGAATGTTTGAATACTTTTCAAAAATAAAGATATTCTTTAAACATTTTATGAATATTATTTAAAGTTACTTTTAATATACATTTGAGCTAAAAAATACAATAATAAAAAATAAAAAAAACCTTTTTTCATAAGTTAATGATTTTAAATTTGTATATAAACTCACATTTGCTTCAATTTATTCAAAAAGAAAATATTTTTTGATTAATTTAGATAGTTAAAATTTTAAAATGTATTGTTATTATAATAAATTAAAAATATAAGCTAAGTGATTACTTATAAAAACATGTTGAAACCTGAGTCAGTCCCCTGGTGCACATATTTCTTAGTAAAGACAAAATACAGATTTATTTATTTATTTTTAATTAATTAAACATTTTAAATAATATCACATACTCAATATAAAAACCAAATTTGATGAACAATTAACTAAATTTGAGTGATTTATTATTATTAGCATACTATATGTATTAATTTTCATTTATTACCTGTATGGTTTTGATACAATAATTGATGAATTAATAAAGTTATTTGTATTTAAACTATATTTTTATAATATTTATGGTTTTTGGATTTTATTAAGTTTCCCTAAAGTTGTATAAACTAAAAAATACCAATTTTTATTGAGTATAAACATAATATAATACAACACTTATATTGAACATATCACACATAATGTACATATTTTATAACATTGGAAATTAGTTAAAAATGCTATAAAGTGGTCGTCACTAAAGATAATGATGTATTTATAAATCATTTCATGGTACATATTTCATTCATTCATCTATCCCTGTTGTCAATTGAGTTCAATTAAATTTTTCAGTGGAGCAAAATATAAAAATAAAATAATAACAATACAAAATGGAATTTAATGAAGAATGGTTTGGTTTCAGTCGTGTAAGATACATACACTATGGACAATGAAAAGGACATTGAGAGCAGTCAATCAATAAATTACAATATGGAGGATATTTCTCAACCAGATTTGCTGTGCCATACCTATTCAGTTGATTCTCAAGTGACAAGTAAAACACATTTAAACATAAACAATTCATTGTCATTTAATAATGCTTCTTGTGAACATTCTAAAATGCAAGAAGAAGAATGTGCTTTTTTAACAAATAATCTACAAAGTGTTCATTTGACACGTGACAATCCATTATCTATTAATTTTCCATCACGGAGACGTCGATTGATACCTATCAATAATAAAGCTAATGATTATGATTGTGAATCAAGTTCTGGTAGTGAATTCAGTGATAATACTGACAGATTCTTGAATGTGGACCTTGGAACCAAATCGATACCTGAATTAACAGCTGAAGAAGAACTCAAAGATGAACGTAACTGGAGGTCTTGTACGGTAACTGGTGTTATTAGTAAGATTGACATGAAAGTAATTGAGCCTTATAAATGTGTACTATCACATGGTGGTTACATGACAACTGGTTCACACAATGCTATAATTGTATTTAGTGCATGTTATTTACCGCATCGTGATCGTGTAGACTACAATTATGTTATGAATAATCTATTTGCATATGTAGTTTCAACATTGGACCAATTAGTTACAGAAGATTATGTTCTGGTATATCTGCAAGGAGGTACTTCAAAGGATTGTGTTCCTGGTTTCTCCTGGCTGAAACGTTGTTATAAGATGATTGATAGAAAACTAAGGAAAAATTTGAAGTTCTTATACTTGGTTCATCCAACATTTTGGTTAAAAACACTTGTATTAATGATCAAACCATTTGTAAGCTCAAAATTTGGTAACAAGATACATTTCATTAACAGTTTAGATGAACTCTATGACTGTGTGCCAGTTGAAAGAGCTAGTATACCAGATAGGGTGAAACAATTTGATTGTACTAAATCAAATTCTCACAAGTAATATTAATTTCATTATATAATTATTTATTAATATTATTACTATTATTTAAAATTCTACCTTACCTATATACTGTCCTAATTTTATCAGTTTGCATTAGTTTTTAAGTCCAGGAACTAAACTACTCATTTTTTATAATAAATTTTGATATTTATTTTTTTTAATCTGTAGTTGTATTATTTATTTTTAATTTTTGTAAATTATAGATAACTTTTAAAATATAAAATTGACTAATTAGTTGCCATTTTATATTCTTATCTATGGAAAACTGTATATTAAAATGTCCCAATTACATTCTTGTTTAACATAAACATTAAAATAATTTTCACCGAGTAATTAAATTAATTTAAAAAAAATATAGATTTCAACTCTTTTTAAATCAGAATAATTTATTTGATTTAAAAATCCTAATCTTTTTTACACTATAATGTTTGTAAATTGTTTGAAAATATAGTATTATTTGTGAATGATTACAAAGAAGAATTTCAAAATATACATTTCATTTTGATAGTTTCAATATAACAGTTAATTATTTTCCTATTATCAAACTTAAAAATAATTAATAATATATGTGACTTTTCAATATTTTAATTTTAAAAGTTTAGAATTAATAGAAGAAAAAAACACTAGATAAATATAAAGTGAAAAAATTGTCTCATTATCTTAACACACTAACCGTCATAATATGACCACTGGTGTCATATGTAATTCTCAAATTTTATAAATTTGTAACCGCTTGTGCTTATAGTTCATCATGACTACCATGCCACATGACCGCTACCAACCATAAATTAATTTAGTTTCATATTATTAATTTTTCTATGGCGCTACAATAATGTACCAAATTATGAATCATGGCGTAACGGAAATTATTAAAAATTTTTGATATAGATACCTATATTACATTATTTTTTTTAATATTTAGTATGTACAAATTTGGAAAACATTGAAAAATATTTCTGGCGTATAACAAATATTTATTGAATGATTGCCGGCGATCATATAGTAGTTAACATGTTAATATTTTAAATTTTGTAGGTCTAAAAACCAAATATCATAGAAAAACTTCATTTATGTTGTAACTTTTATGTTTGATAAAAGATAAATTTATAGTTATTTTAAAAACTAAGCAAATTAAATTTTCATTTTCATTATTACACTCATGTAAAACAAGAACTACAAAAGTGAGTGTGGCATTCTTCTGTGAACTTAAAACTTAAAAATTACAATTGTTTTTATTTTTTACTGCTAAAGTATTTGAATATAATTTGTATCATTTCTGATTTAAAATATTTATGAACATAAATTTAATAATTATATAAAAAAATATCATTAAATTTCAATACTTAACATACATAATTAATTTTTAATTAGTAAACATTTTTATTTATTCTTATTGATTTATATATTCTCCAAAAAATCAATATATCTGATATAATATTATAATATAGCCATAGGTGAGAAATATTATTGTTACCAGTAGATATTACTTAAGTCTTATAAACTATAAAATGTTTTTTTCCTATTTTAGTCCAGTAATTTAATATTATAATATTTATTATTTATATTTTTCTTAATGTTAGTTAAATTATTCAAGAAGCAATTATTTTTAAACTAATGATTATAAAGTTAAAATTTTACATAGACAAGAATATTCTAATAAATTAAGTTCCTGGGCTTAACATACAAAATATAAAATATATTAATATTATATAGTATTATTTAAATACTTATCTAGTCTAATTTATTATTATTATGCTCTCTTTTTAATAGTGTATTTATATTTACTTTTGTGATAATCTTAATCCTAGTTAATAAATATTTTTTCTGTATTACAATCTAAAATTTAATTTTTATATTAATGTGCACTTTTAAATTATTTTTGTATTTTTGTTTATTTTGATAATTATTATATCATAACTGATTTTCTGAATAAATTATTCATAAATATTGAATAATTTGTAGTAATAAAATTGAATTTGAAGCAAGACTTTCATAGACTCTTAGGTGCCTCGTGCCTATAATAATATATATTAAAAATCAAAAGGAGAGAAATAAGACATTGACATAATTAAAAATTAAATGTTTTCATTAATTGTTTACTTTGTAATGAGACATTGCTATGTATTAAAATTGTTATTGTAATTGCAATATGATTTGTTTTACATAGTTTTTTTTTAAATAATGTCAATATGTTTATATATAATATTGCAACCATAAAAACTATTAACTAGGATTATTATTCCAAAAATTATTTAATAATTAAAAAAAATGTTTTTAGTAGAATTTAGTATTAATTTAGTCTTGAATTATTTCTGTATTTGATTGTATTTTTTATATACATATACTGTATCAAGAAAAAGCACAAAAAGACTGTAATTATTGCTGTATTAACAGCATTTATTTTATTAAACTACTATATTATGTTAATCAAAACAAAAATAATACAATGTTGTATGCGATTCTGTTACTAAATACCTATTTTTTTTTTTTAGTTAAAATTGAACATGTTTACTGTTAAGTATGTCATATAAATTATTGTATAATCTAACCTATTTAAGTTAAAAATTAAATAAATTTCAAAAAATCAATTCAAGCTGAAATTCAGTTCAAGATTTTTTAAATTATTTTTGTCATAGTAATTACATTCCTTTTTAATATTTTGTTGTTTACTAAAATCATTATGAAGAAAAAATTCTTATCAGAAATTAAACATCTATTGTATTTAATTCTTAATATATGTAACTATAAAAAGTATTATTCAGGTTAGACATGGCTTCATAGAATAATGCAATTTATTGCTGCGTAATATTTTATGATAATATTTGTTCTTTTGATAACCTTTTAGAAACAAAACTACCATTCAATTATAATTTTAGCTAGATTGATACCGTTACATAAATATTTAAAGGACTGACCTTGAACAAAAGAGTATTGCCAATAACTGCCAAAATTTTCATAAAAATATTTTAGCTAGTAACAATATAATCAAGGTTAATATACCAGTATAAGTACAAGCTTTAATTTTCTTCCTAATTATATTTTTAATCTAAAGCTTAATCACAGTCTATATTATATTGAGTCTATATGGTTAGTTGATTAATTGCCTGACTCTCTTTCATTAAATTAAATTTTAAATAACCTTTTTTTTTTCTAATAATCCCAATTCTTCATAAATTAATACTCTTTTCTAATAATCTTGTAATAAAAACTATTTTATATTTTCAATTTTTATGTTATTTCTAGGTTTTTTTTTTTTGTGCTGCTTAGACAAAATTATGTTAATATTTTACCAAGAAAAAAAACAATGAAGGTCAAATTACAACAATTCAATTAAATTGTTTAAATCAAACATAAACTACTACACAATTCATAAATACCATTTCATTCATGTGAGAGTTATGCAGTAATAATTAAAATTATAATTATAATTTTACAATATTAACACAATCTCTCTTGACTAATTAAATGTGATATTTATTACATTAGAAATCCATGCTAGTCACAATTTTAGTTATAAGTTATAACTTATAACAATACATTGCCAAATAAAGCTAAATAAAGTTATATTAAATGAATTGTATTTAAATTGTATAAAACAAATATAACTTGTAATGTAGTAAAAAATTTTTTCTTCTAACCAATTTACATTTATATATACTTGAAACAAACTGCAATAGGTAAAACAACAGAAGTATTATAGTTTTAATTTTATTATTGATAGGTAATTCCTTTGCCTTTAAAATTAGAGAAAACAAATAATTGCTTTAACAAACACTATTATAATTACAGAAATTAATTATGTCATTATTTTACTATAGCCTAGGTCATAACAAACAATAAATGATAGGAATTTGTGATGAGACATTTTAATTACTAGGGAATTTATAGATAATTTAAATGAATAAATCCCAACTCTAAAATATGTTTAGTTATCAAGAGTAAGCCATGGAATAATTTAGAATCTTTAACAAACCGTTCAATTTGAACTTTAAAGAGATATATTGGATGAATTGCAAGATTTTAAGTGTTTTCCTTAACAAATAGTTTGGGAAGCGGTATAAAACCTGGACCTTGAACAGAATTAAGAGAACTGGCTAGAGTATTATTGATAGTATAATTGACATAATTTGATGATAGATACAAAAGTAAGACTTTTAAATACATATTTAAATAATATTTTTAAGAAATATAAGTAGTAAAATAATAAATTAATTTTATAACAGTATTATCAATCAGAACAAACAGTTTTGAATATTACGTCATTTATATTTGTATAATTTTTTTCTAAAGTTTAAGATACAATAAATGGTAAATTGTATTCAATAAATTATTTTATATTTTTTAAAAATAACAATGACATGAGATTTGTATTAATTTTATTTTTATGAAAATTAATATTATAAAAAAAAAGTAAACTAAAATTTCAAATAAAAATAACTTTTTATCTTATTTTTTTAAAGATTGTAAATAAAGTTCAAGACTTTTTTGAACAGCTGGAGATTGCATGTATTTAATAACAAAATCAAGATCCTTTTGTTTGTTATCAATTAACCATTGAATAGTTGGTTGACGACCAATATCTTTAGTCATCTTATAAGCCCAAGCTGTAAAAAATTAATGATAAATTTTAATTTCTACAATTTTATTTAAGAAGATGTGACATTCACATGTGTTGTTACAGTCTTATAAATGAACAACATAGCAAATATTACATTAAATATAGTCAATTAACATGTGTTTTTTTTTAAATTAGAAAGAATTAATTTATTATATAATTTAAAAGTAAGATTATTATCCATACTTTTAATGAAATTTTAATTTTAAAATAAGGTACCTATGATCATTTTAAAATTTATAAAAAAAAATATGATTTTAAAATGATTTCAATCGCTTTTAACTAAACTCTAAAGTATCAATTAAACAATAAAAGCCTTGGAGGTTCCTTGGATAATAACCTTTAAGTTTTATAATAAGTTAATTTTATAAGTAAGTAGTAACATGCCTACTATAATTGATTATCTTGAACACAAATTAAATACAACTTACGAGATATCTTTTGAAAATTATTCAAAAATTGTATTCCTTTCTTAAGAGCACTATCTGTATCTGGCAAACTTTCATCAATTAAACCAATTTGTAATGCTTCATTAGTAGTATACATTTTCCCTGTAGTTAATGAAATTTCAGCTTTCCTTTGACCAATAACTGCTACCATAGTGTCTTGAAACCTAGAAAAAAATTATTAAAAAAAATTTAAGTTTAAAATTTCACTGAATTTTAATTTACCATTTTGGAGCAACAATTCCTAATTTTGTCTCATTAAGTCCAATTGTATAATTTGGCCCAACCATGACTCTGTAATCACAACTCATGGCTAACAAGCAACCTCCTGCTGGACTGTGGCCCTTTATATAATTTGTACAAGATGTAAGCAGTGAGATAATTATTTTACAGTAAATAATAAATTAATATATCTTAGATAGTGTTGTATTTGTAAGTGTAAAAATAGATACTTAAAAATCAGTTTATGCAACTATTCAATTAGTATTAAATTAAATCAAATTTAATGAAATTATTTTAATTAAAATACATTCTGAGTAAAAATAATATATTAATTTATATTAACAAAATAGTGCAATAACATCTAAGCTTAAAAATAAAGATTATTTTGATCTATATATTAACATGTTATATACATTATACACACTTAATCAAATAGAATGATATTTTTCTAAGTATATTAATTTAAATTTTTGTTGTTAAAATGAATTACAAAATTTTAATAAATTAATATATAATTGCTTTACATTGATGACAGATACAGTAGGAAATGAAGCCATATAAAGTGAAAGCCATGTATCTTGTAGGGTAGTCCAAAATTTTGCTAATCTATCAGGATTTGGTTTATAAAATTCTGTTATATCTAATCCTGCACAAAATATTTTCTGTAGTCCCTGAAATTAAATAATTATTTAAAATAGTTGATCAAAAATATATTCATTTAAAATAATATACATACTGACGTTAATATCATTCCACGGATTTTATCTTTCTGTAATTTAATAAGCTGAGTATTAATTTCATCTAAAAACTCAAGGTTTAAACTATTAACGGGCGGCTTATTCATAGTTAAAATAGCTATGCCTATAAAAATAAAATTTAAATAATTTAAAATGAACAGGTATCTATAGAATAACAACTAACAATAAATATTAAAACAAATACTGATTAATCAAATTGAACAATAAAACTAGATTAAATATAATATATTATATAGGTACCTGATTTTTCATCAACTGTAGACTGTAACATTGATTGGGAAACATGCCGACAAGTAATGAATTTATTAGTAGTATAAAAAATATACCTTCTCAACATTTTAATTGTTTTTAAGAAAAAATTTTATTGAGGTCAATTAAAATTAACAGTAATTTCATATATTGATCAAAAAGTAATGCTTTTATATTATAGACTATTTTAATACTTTTATTTTGTATTTAACCCGCAAATTGAGAAAGCTAACGTTACATTATTTCTACGACTTTGTTTTTTTTTTTATATACATTTAACATTATACATTTTTACATAATACATATTACGTTATCGGTCACGTTCATGAATATCTTTAGACCTCTAGCTATCTTAGGTAATACCATAGATAATCCATTTATGTATTATCTATGGGTAATATACTTTTTTTATCAGTAAAAATAATATTATTTAAAGTTGCTTTCTACTGCTTCTTGAACTTCAGGTGGTGGAAGAACATAATTATGACCTAGATTTACTGTTTCCATTTTGAATTGTATTAATTATTGTATTAAAATGTATTAAAAAATACAGTTAAAACATTATTAATAAATTTAAATTTTTTTGGTAATACTGATAGTTGTGATTATTTTGTTTAACACTTTTTGGTTTTTAATGTTGGTGTCGCTGTCTATCGTTTGAGATATTATTATGAATTACTTATCATTTTTCTGACAACTACCTTTCTCTGGTAGAATATTTCATCACTTATCAGCAGTAGAAACAACTGTTTAATGTTATCATGTACAGACAAACCAACAAGTGGTTGAATCACAGAATAGTAATTATAGTTTATTCTAGGTTGAATAATGAATATGATTTTAGACGCGCCTTAAACATTTAAGCTGCGATAATGAATCAAATAACTTGTAAATGTAATATTATTAACATTAGCTAGTTATGTGACACCAATCTCCATAGATAAAAGTGGATCCAGGTATGTAGCATCTGTTAAAGCGTGCTGCAAAACATTAGTCTACTCGTGTATCATTAGAAGCCTAAGAATATTTGTGGTAATTCTTGTTTTATTATTTTATTACAAGTTATAAAACTTATGATCAAGTACTATACAAACAAAATTTAGAAAGTAGATTAGTTTTAATGAAAACAATACAAATTTATATGATAAGAAATTTTGTTATATTTTGTATGTTATTGATTATTTAAAATAACAATAGTATATGTAGGACTGATATTAAAAGTTAGTTATTTTTTATTTTTATTGGATAACTTTGTTAAAGTTAAATTGTGTTATAATAGTTGATAAATTTATCAAAACCAAAAGTGGTTGAATAAGTATATTTTTTATTTCTTCTTAAACCAGTCAATTGAAATGTAGATAGCATTTATTTAAAAAAGGATATTTAAGTTCATATAATACTCAATAGCTACTTGAGGACAATAAAAATAACATTTTATTAAACTGTATTTTCTTTGACTACATTTTAATATTTTACTTAAAAAGCTTTTATCATTATACATTTTTAAAAATGTAATATTAACTTTTTGCTTTTAAGTATTTATACAAATTACAAGTATTGCTTATTACAATATGTAAGGAAAAAAAATAATATATATTGATTAATTATAGATGCTCAAATTAACATAACTAACTTTCAATGAAATTTTGATTTTTTAAGCATTATCTATAGAATTGGACCGATAATAAATGAAATATACTCTAGTTATGAGAAAAAGTTAACAAAGGATGATGTTGAGCCATTTGCATAGAGATCACTTCTGACAAGTTTAAGTAACTCTTTTCTGTTTCAGTTTAGAACAAATGTAAAATGGTACTTCATTCCATAGTCTTACTTTGTTTATTACTTATAATGTTATAATGTTGCAGCCTCCATGGTACTAATAAAATAAAATAATTGTTATGATGTTGATATTAAATGTACATGGGTTATTTTATCAATGAAAATATTTCTTAATCAAGACAATAATGATTTTAGGATTGAGAGACAATATAGACATATGATAAATCAAATGACTTTCAAATGTGTATTTTAATTAAAATTAAGCAGTGTAACATGTATTAATAATTTGTATAATTTTAAACATAAATAGTATAATACTAAAACCAAAAATACATTTAATGTCTTATGGCACTTATAAAAAATTATTATAATCAATAGAGTAACTTGAGGCACTGTTAACTTTTGAATATAACTTATCAAGATACTCTAATGAGTAATAACTACTAGGTCACTACACTGTAGCGCGCGTTCAGGCAGAAGCTATAGATTCAGGACTATATTTTTTGGTTCAGATGACAGTTCATAGTTTATAAATAATATAAAACTTGAATTATGTACGAATAAATGAAGTTAACTTTTTAAAGGATATGCTAATATAAGTATATAAATTATTTATCAAATTGTACATTTAAAATTAAAATTATTAACACAACCAGGCGACTTAAAAACAATATTTAAGATATCATTACTATATAAAAAATACTTCTAAATAAATATGTTTATGATTAACATTTTAGTCTTATTAAAGATAACCATTAACCTTTTAATTACATAATCAAAACACGTAATTTAAAAAAATGTTTATAATATTGAACTTAAAATTGTAAACAATTTTTATATTCTTTTCAAAAATGATATGGTTTGAGTTTTTTTATAATTAAATTAGGATAGAAAATTAAAAATATAATAGTTATTTCCATTTATTACAATATAAATATATTATATTAATTACAATTGTAGCTATCAAAATCATACTAAGATTATCTTTATTTATGATTCATAACAATGATAAATTAAAAATGGAATGTTTTTATACAAAATTTAAAACTATAATATTGTATTGAGCATATAGGTAATTGGTTATATGGTTAGTTCTACAATATTTTATGCAGAATTATGTTGAAATTATTCAATTAAATCTGTGAATAAATAAGATTTCCGTGATTTCTCAATTCCGGTTGAACAATTTCCAATAAGAAGTTGTTTGTTAATTTCAGTTAAATATTTAATTGCGCTTTGATACATTCTTTCCGATATTTGAATTTCTGTGACAAAATAATCATTTCTCCATTTTTCTACGAATTCAGAAGATGTATGCCAAATAATACTTGAGCAATTTTTTCTATTAAGCGTAAGAACGTTACTACAATTAGGATTTAAAGCAATAGCAAATTCATTTTTTTTAATGACTTTCATTAATAAATAATGATACAGATTTTCAGAATCCTTGAATTTCATTATAATGTGTGAAATTGGTCCGAGCATCGTTTTAACAATATCATCTACTAAAATAGCAAAACAGTCATATGGTGGAGCATTTGTTTGTTCATCGTTATCCCCAAATTTAAAAGTGACAGAGTCTAACCACAACCTTAAGCCGTATTCTACACATACACCTAAACATAAATTACAGTTTTTACATTTGACAGAGTTGGATGATGTCCAATGTTTATTTCTAATATAGATTGATACTTTGTCATAGTAACAGTCATCTTCTTGTGGATGGAAAACTAAATTTTCTGTTCCTCCATGACAAAACATATTATCAACTTCATATAACTCTACTGGTAAGACTCGGCGAAAATTAAATGATTTTCTGTCAATTAAATTTTGACACGAACAACATGTAATGAAGACTTCTTCGGCACTTTTCACTTTAGGCATATATTCAGGTGTGAATGAAAAGCAAGACGATTCAATTTTGGGGCAGCTATTTAACTGAGCTCGAAATAGTAATTTATTGCCATAAACTTTGATATCTCTTACTTCGTCTTCTTCAAATGTATACTCTTTAATGTTTAAAATGTATACGTCTTTTTCTGCTAACGTTATACTAATTGATTTCACATCAATTTCAATGTCATAATCAATAGGTACATTATCGGAAAACGTTATATAAACTTGACATGATAATACGTATATTTCAAATTCAATACATACATGTTTAATGTGCATTTTAGGGTATAGAAATGATTATAATTTAAAACACAAACAAACAAAAACAGTCCATTTACGTTAATCAACTTAAAATATTAAAAATATTAAAAATTAAAAACTATCAATATTCGACATTATTTTAAAATTTATGGTTATTACTTATTATTTAAAGCCAACTAAAAACCATAACCTTAAATTTTAATATTTTCGTATTAAATACTTATAACTTCTTTGAAAAGAAGTGTAAGCATATTTATCCATTTGAGTCATAGACCTAATAACTATTAGGTCTATGATTTGAGTTGTGTTTGTGTACCAACTAATCAGTAATCAGTATTCACTATTCACTGTTAAGTTCTCACTGTTCTCTGTACTCAGTAGGTATTTACTATTTATTTACAATTTACTATTTGTGATTGTTATTTGTATTACTGTTATTTTGTTTCATAAAACATTTTTTTTAGTTTTAATAAATCTTTTAATACATTTAAATTGTGTCAAGAAGTTGGGATTAAATTCTGTATTGTACTTGATGAATTAATATAAAATTAAATATGACTGGTATGGTATCTTGTACATTTGTACATTCGATGTAATGTCATATAATTAATTAACAACATCACTATAAAATATGTGTTCTGTAAATTTTGTCATTGCCTGTGATGTGTATGAATGTATTAGATAATTTTCAGTACTCAAGACAAACGGTTATTGACTAATGACTATTGTCATTTTTTTGGTATTGTCTTTAACATTTGATGATAGTTTTAACTTTAAAAATAAATTATCAAGTTATAATGTTGTTTGACGATTGCTAAATATTTATTGGTTCTCTATTTTATTATTCGTGTATTTCGTTTTTTAAATATAATATGGAATAAAATAACAAATAAAAAAGTATTTTCGACTGTATGAACTTAAATAGTTTTGTTTTAAAATAATTCTATTTCCAACAGCTTAAAATTCTAAATCCTAATCAACATGAATAAATCTAAAGATAATGATCAAACATTTGTAATAAAAATATTGGATGATTTGCGATCGAATAATCGGTCTAAGCCATTAAGGATGCATTATGATACCAGTATGATTTCTTCAAATGATTCTTTGTTATTATCAAACAAACGACGACGGTCTTGTAGTCCTGATTTACAAGAATCTATGCTCAGTATGGTTAAAAATAAAAATAATGAAAACTTATACTTTTATGAATAACAATTTTGTATTTTTAGCACCTGTTACTTCACCGTGGGAATCTCGTAGAATAAAACAAGAGTTGGTTAATGCTCGAGCAGAAATTGCCTCTCTTCAAGAACGAAATAAAACTCTTTTCAACCTTAAAAAAGAATCTGATATTTTATTTGAAAAAGAAAAATCTGCCTTGGAACACAATATTAATAAATCAAATTTAATGGTTTGGAATATTTAAAATAACATACTTATAAATATTTTATCATTCTGTTCTATTGATTTTAGATTGATCAGTTAGATAACAGGCTTAAAGAAATTCGATATGAAAAATCAAATTTAAAGGAAGAAAATGATAGCTTAATGAAAAAACTTGAGTCATTAGTGGAAGAAAACAAGCGTTGGACATCAAATCTTGAAAAAGAAAACAAGGAACTTGAAGATAAACTTTCCAGTGTAAATATTTCAAATTAATAATTTTATTTGTTTTTAGCAGTAATCAACTTAACTATGTTTAAATTTTTAATTTTTTAAAATCACATTTATTTCATTATAAATTATAAATAACAATAAGAATTAGGATAATAATTGAACTTAAGTTATTGTAAAAAAAAAAAGGCAACTTTGCTCTGTGATTTCATATGGCAGTAAGCTACCTATTTTTAATTTTATTTATTATTAATGCTAATATATTTCTTAACAAATTTGAGTTTAGCAAAATCTATTTTGTGCTGTTTGCTTTAATAGTAAATTTACTTATTATTAAACTTAAAGGTAAGTATATTATTTAGGGTATTATGAAAGCTTTTATTGATATTTTAATGTTTACTGAGTTATAGCTATGTAAAATAATAAAAATTTAAAATGCTTATAACTCACTTTAAAATTAAAATGTCGATGAAGTCTAAGTTTGATAATAGGTCAATTTACTATAATATCATGGTAATAGCATAAAATGAATTCTGCTGAACGCATATTTGTGAAGTTTTACATTAGTAAGACAAAGATAACATATTATGTGGGTACAAAATCCTCTTAAGGATAATGTATGTGTGTTTAAATTGTGTATCAATATTTTAATTTAAAAATTTTAATTTTACTATCAAAATATAATCTATATTATAGATACTGATTCATAAAATATCTATTTTGATTTGTAAATTGTGTTAAAAAAAAAAAAAAATTAAGTGTAATAAACTTAACATATGCCTATTTTTTAATTATTTTTATGAAGTAATTCAATGAAATATTATAAATGCTGATTATTTGATTTAAAATTGAAGTGAATAATATTTATAGGTAACTTCAGAGCTCACAAAATACCAAAATGAAAGTGTGTCAAGAAATTGTACTGATTATGAATTAAATGAACTAAAAAAAACTCTTAGATCAAATGAAAAATACATTGAGGAATTAACCAGCAATTTAAGGAAAAAACAAATTGAAATTAATACCTTGGAAAATGATCAAGTCAAAATGAACACCGCTAACCAAAGAATTAAAGTAACTAAAATAATTTATTATTAAAGATAATATAAATAATTGGTATGATTTAGATGATTCTTTATTTCTTTAAATGTGTTCACAGTTTAGTTTGAAATCTAATTAATTAGCTTATTTTATTATCTTTTTTTGCCAATTTTAGGCATATTTTCTTTTTTAAAACTTCCAAGACTAATTAATTTTATTTTTAGTGTTTGGAAAACGAATTAGCTTCATTACAAGAAAGTGCTATGGTAGTTAATGCTCAAAGAGAAAAATTAAAACGGTTTAATTCTATGGAAAACGAACTTGTTTCACTAAGAGAAGAAGTAGCTATTTACAGGTGATGATTTACTTTTAACTATTTATTGAGAATAAATCAGATGTTATAAAATTCATGATATTTGTTTTTTGATTTTCTTAGAAATGATGTAAAGCAAACAGAAATTTTAGAAAATAAAGTTTCTACCCTTGAAAGTAAATTAAACAAACATGAATTAATTGAAAAGGAAGCAATGCAATTACGATCAAATCTAGCAGTTAGTGAGGATCGTTTGAAAGCATGGATAGATGTTTGCCGAGAAGTCTGTGAAAATGTTACTGAAACTCAGTGTTATCCAGAATATTTGCGTTACTATGTTGATAATCTTAAGAAAAAAGATTTATTTCTAGTCAATGAGAAAGGAGAATTACAAACTAGGTAAAATATTTTTAAAATAATTATTTTTTTTACTATTATCTTTTAATATTGGAAAATAATAATTTTTTTTTGAAACATACTATTGGTAATTATTTATTTACAATGAGCATGTCAGAGGGTATCCATTTTTTTTTTTTGTCTTGATACATGTAAAAAAAGGCATCCACTTAATGGTGTAACACTATATCTTTACTAGGCTTGATTGATTAGAATTAGTTAAAATTTTTCTATTAAAAAATAATTATTTATATTTTCTTATATTTATTTGTATGTATAATTGATAATATTTTTTTAGTATTGCTCGATTGGAATTAAAACTTAAACAAATGGAAGTTGAGTTGCTTAAAGCAAAAGAACAAATAGTTATTGGAACAAATAATAATAATAAAAATGAATTAATCATTAAACGGTTGAAGAAACAAATCTACATTATTACATGGGTAAATAATACATTTTATAGACTATTGTATTATATATTTTATTAATATATTAATATTTTAGGAACGTAATGATTTAAGAGAACTTTTAGATTCATTCCAAAAAGAAGTAACTGTCATAGGTAATATAAATGGTGAAGATACAAAGATGGAAGTATTAGAAAAAGCTATAAGTGGTTACAAATCGCGTATGAATCAAATTGAGACAGATCCATCTATGTATGTTCCTACTGATAATAATAAACGTTGGATTGAAGAAAAAAACATTCTTTTAAAAGAAAAAGAAGAACTTATTAACAAATGTAAGCAATTGGAAGACAAGTGTAGTGATTTAAATGATCAAATAGGTCATCGAGCTTTGAAAGGAGATTTCAATTTAAAAGAAACTAAAGTGTTGCACTATAAGTATGTAAAACATCACTCATCTTGCATATTAAGTATCAATAATTATCTTTTTAATAATTTTTATAGAATGAATCCCGCATCCGAAGGATTCAATCATTATCAAAATGAATTAGCAAAAGCTAAACAAGAAATAGAAAAATTGAAGGAACGTATTAAAGCTATGAATGAAGGAATTTCTATGAACCTTACACAGGTAGTTGATAATAGAGTTGAAACAAATGCATCCCAAGAAGTAGAAGGTTAGTATATTTTTTCAAGTAAAATAACTTGAAATATATTATATTTTTTACATTTTAGGACTTAAAGAAAAATTGAAATCTCAAGAAATTCAAAATCAAAGACTACGTGAAGTTTTTAAAAAGAGTAGTCAAGAATTTAGAGAGTCTGTTTATACATTATTAGGTTATAAGGTTGATGGACTTCAAAATAATATGTATAGACTGACAAGTCAATTTGCTTTTCATGAGGAAGACAACTTAATGTTTCAAGTACTTAATTTTACTTTTTGTTTGAAATTATTTATTTAAAATTTTTAAGTACTTTGTGTACAATAAGTAAATTTTATGATAACCTAACTTCTAAAATTTAACATGAAAAGTGTGAAAAAGAGGCACTTAGGCTTTGATAATCTAATCTAAACATAAATTGTTTTACTTTGTTAAGAATAAGGACAGACTAGCTGGTTGACAAAAACACATGATTTATGTTATCTCCAATATGACTCTCTTCACTCATTTGTTAAAAATGTTACTCCTCATTTGAAAAATTACCTATCGTAACCATATATTGTAAACAATCATTATTGAATTGGCCAACAAGGTGTCAAATAATGCTTAGAGCTCAATTGTCAATGTTCTTGGTCTATTCTTATACTGGATAAAATTTGAAGTTGTGGTTGTATGATTTTATTTTGTTTATTAAACATTAAGTAATTTTTTAGGCCACATGGTCTAAATACCAGTTTAAATTGCTTAGTTGAGTATTAGTATGAAGTTGGGAAATTCTATGTTATGTTGATGTTGCATTTTATAACTAAGTTGGAAGTATACTAGGGATGTGGGGTTGTTGTTTTTATGATTTTTATTTTTAGATCTTTGTAAAACAAATTGTTAGCAACAGATCAAGTATTTTAGTAATCGCCTGAAAACAAATGAATTAGTATGACAAATAATTTAGCGGGACCTATGTATTACAATATAACCAAATTAGCTGATATGACTTTTATATAACAGAAAATAATATGAAATGTTCAAATTAGATAGGCGGGGATTAATCTTAAAATATATTCATAAAAATTGAGCCATCTAAGTTTGTATTGAAGATAAGGGCCATAAGTCAGTCTTCTATCAATTAGAAAACCAAAATATTTAACTTTGATTGATTGAAGAATAATTTTTCCTATTATATGGTTAGAGAATAATAGTTCTTAATTTAGAAGGTGTATTGGACATATGTAGATTTGGTTTTTTTAATTTAGATTTTTCATGTTTTGAACCATTGAGTTGAGTTTGTTAAAGTTTAAATACAAAACCTTCATCCCACAATTTTTCAAGTGCCTAGTTTGGCAACATTGATAAATATTTAAGTATAATGCTTATTAGTTTAAAAAAAAGAAGCAATGTAATCCACATGTAATGAAGTTAATAAAATGTAATGTTTTGATAGAATTGGTTAAAAATGTAAATATAAATCAGAATAATAAGTTTTATGACAGATTGCTGAATATTTTGTTATTGATAAGATTATGATCAGGGATACATTAAGTTTTTTGTGATTGAGAGTATGTTGCCTGGAAAAAGAGTGTGTTTATCAGAAAATCTAAGAATTTATTGCTCTGAGAAAAGCTAGGTTCTTATTAATAAAACTTAGAAAAGGTATAATGTTTTTGTTTATTGATGTTCTATAAAAATATGGTAAGCACTGAGCGCATAATTTTTCTGGAAGTCATTTTGGATTATTGTTTTTATAATTGTTGATTATACACGTGTTGTCCAATGCAATTGTATTTTGATTGTTATGAATTTGTTTCTAATAGAAATTTACTAAAATACAATTGGATTACTACAATCAATTTCACTAGTGTTTTACTATTTGAGTATCCATGTCATATTAATGAAATCTCAATATAGTTTATCTTCTTTTATCTGATATTTGTGAATTGGGGATTTCTGGTGTTTTCTTAAAGGCATTTAACTAATAACTTTATATAAGCTAAATGTGAAGTTTGCAGCAAAAAATAATGTTATCTGTTATTCTTATGGAGCTTGGAAATCAAATACTTTTATTATTCAATTTGATATGAGTTTAGGAGATTTATTGTTTTTAAGGAAATCTCTATCATTGATATCTAATTTATTGCCAATATAGGTTTATTTGATATACTAGAAAAATTAGCGAGGAGAGAGTAAGGTTTTTGATTTAATATGGCTACAAACAAAGAACAGATATGCTTAATTAAATATTATTATTGAGTTTAATAATAAGTATAGTTTACAAAAAGATGAAATTGTGGTTTTGGGTTGCTAAATTCTTGAGGTGCATTGGAATAAAATTATTACTTATTGACTGGAGTATGTATTTTATTATAGGAAAAAATAAATAGAACTTAATGTAATTACTTGGTAAAATAAAAATATTTAATAGTACACTTGGTCATTAAAAATTAACTGATATTTTTATTTATTTTTTTAGTTAAATGAAGGTTCAATGCATTTGTTAGAAACTCCTTTTTCAAAAACTATTGAAGAAATGATAGCCTTACATCTTGGTCAGCAACGTTCAATACCAGTTTTACTATCTAGTCTGACTATTGACTTATTTAGTAAGCAAAGCATGATCATGACTGCTGATTCAACACGACTTGAATCAGCCACTAACTAGACTAAAAATTCAACACAACTTGAATTGACCATCTATCAATATTTATTTTTAATAAATCTAAAATGTAAAAAGAATATATAATATATATTTATCACCATATATAATATATAAATTGACTTGCATCAAAAAATAATTTATACATTTTTGAATAACATATTAATAAAAAATTATTTAATTAATAATATATTCAGTCTTGCTTTTGTAAGTTATTATTTTTGAGTAATAAACAAAATAACTTTTACAGTTTATTATTGGAAATTTAAAAAAAAAAGAATGGTTGAACATAATCTACAAATATTTTTTATTGATGTATGAAGTTTAGATTTTGATGAGCAGCAAAAAAGTAACATTTACAAAATCCAAACATTCCAATCGACATTATTACAAATGATTTCTAGCGCTCCTCTTTATGTTTCAAACTTTACCTTACAATCAGACTTAAAAATTTGTACTGTTCAAGAGGAAGTCAAAAATTCCTACAAACTATTTTGAGCCAGTCATACAAACAACTTTAATCCATTAATCCTTGTTCTTAACTCCGAATCCATTCCAGTAAAATCTAACTAGAAGATTAAAATAAAATTGGAACCGTGACTTAAAATAACCCTATTTTTGTTTAGCCAGTGGGTGATTACTGCATCATATCATTCATATCAACATAAATGTTAAACATCAAACATGCTTATTGTAAAAAATGATTTATAGATTATATGTATTAAAAATAAATAGTCTAAAACGATTTTGATGACATTTAATATTTACACATAAACTAATGATCAAACAATTTTATTGATTTGTTGTAATTTAAAAATGAATAATCTTAAATATTTAAAATAACATTCTATACATGGTATAATTATTATTCATGGGTATTATTAGGGTATAATATTATATTTTATACATAATGGCACTTTAAAATTTTTTTGGCAAAAATTAATGAATCTCACTAAGTTACTAATATTAAAATATATCATTTTAAAAGCCATATAAATATATTATAAAATAAACTTAGTTATTTAGATTTAGAATTGAATGTAATAAATTATTATTGAATTTAAACTTAACACACATTATAGTAACTTACTTCTCAATGATAAACTCTGCTGTATACAGGAGTGGATTTAACAATTTGCCGCCCCTATGCAAAAGAAATTTACTGCCTTTATTTAAAAAAAATCACTTCTGTACAACAAAATTTCTTTGCATAATAAAATTTTCTATGTATTAAACAATTATTATTTTTAACTTAAGTTCAAAAAAAAATATTTTGATTTAAATATAATATTTTTTCTTTATTCTCATTAAATAAAAAATAAATAATAATAAATTTATTAAATTATTATTTGGTTATATAAATAATTTTAATGTTGATTATTTATTTTGAAATTGAAAAATTTAAGAAAAATATTAAACATTTTTTATTCAAGAACAAAATAAATATTAAATACAATTTGCTATGTATAAAAAGCCGTCCATACAACTGCATAGTTTGCAATGCCTTAAATCTGCCCCTCGCTGTATAGAGTTGTCAAATTGATTATTGTAATGACTATGTTAAATTTGAATTCAGAGTGTACCATTAATTAAGAAAAATGATTCTGAAATAATCAGAATGGATACGACTTCTAAATTATGAATAAATCTATTTCATACGACAAAAAATGTTGTAAAATTTAAGTGATTTTGACGAAATTTGTTAAAATTCGAACTTTAAATGAATTTAAAACGAATTGCACATACTTACGTATCCATAAAGTTTTTTTTGATACTTAATTATTATAACGATTTTTAAAAAGCCTTGTATTAAATTTCCAAGCTTTTTGATCAAGCTAATTTTTTTTTATCAATAAAAATTGAAAACGAATCAAAAATTGATACGTCTTTAAACAACTTTAACAATGACTAATGAGTCAAAAATATGGTTATCGTGTATAGAAAAGTATCTTGCATTAGTGCATTACATTACACGATCTTAAAGATTCTTCAAAGACCGTAGCTGTTGTACTTCGTTCAGTTACGTATTACTTTGAATGGTGTTATCTACAAAATAAACCGCAGATATTATCTCAGACCACGGCTTTATTATATAGGCATAGATACTACTATAGCCAATGCGGCCTGCTGAATCAGAATCTGTACTTATCTCGAAACCATTTAACCATCAGTGGTCGGATCAGGGGGCAAATGGCCCCATTACCACCCCCACACAAACGCCAAATTTCCCTATATTTTATGTCATGATATTTCATATTTTGAGTTACAGTTACATCGTAAAATATTACAATTCTAAAATTTCCGCCAGTCTAATAATAGCAATTAATTATTGCTTTTATCATTTTCTGATGAAATATCGACTAGACTGTCGACACAGACGTTCAATAAATACTATAAAATCTTACGATTAAGGCTGTTTGAAAATATACTATAAAATATAAATTTGAGATATTGTTTATATGTTGAAATGGTTTAGATTTTGCCCCTACAAATTAAGCCCTGGATCCGCCACTGTCTATGATATAT